CTCCATGGATCTATTTGTACTTTAGAAGTTGTTTCTATATTCAAATCATAGACTTGGACTAATTGTGTATTCACTTATTTGTGTTTAGAGCATTGGATAACATTGTTGTTATATTTATATTCATGAGAACATGTTTTCTTCATGAAATATATTGTTGCCTTGAGTAGTGAATTGCACATTTTATAGTTGACATTATATATGCCATTTTAGAAATTAAACTCTAAGGCATGGATTGTGTGGTTTCAACCTACTTGTGCATGAAAGGTGATTTCGTGCATTATATAAATTATGTATAAGTTGTGAACTTATTTGGTTTATTTTGGAGTCTTGGGACATTGTTATGTTGAGATGGCTAGGGTTCGGCTTTAGTACGGGGACAAGAGTCCTCTAAGTCATTAAGATAGTACGCACTGGGGGTGGTATGACCCGTGGGTTAGTGCCCGGAATAACCATTGAGTCTAGGTAGAATTTCGAGTTTAGATGTCCAAGTCTTCCACTATTTGTTTTCGCATTCAATTCCAAGTTAACAATCATGTTTATATTGTGACTTGTGCTTTTGGTTATTGGCGATTGTGATGTTGTTAAGTATATCTATGTTTATGATTTTAATGAATCATTTTGATGTTGTTAAGTATATCTATGTTATAATTTTAATGAATCATTTTGATATTGTTAAGTACATCTATGTTTATGATTTTAGTGAATCATTTTGATGTTGTTAAGTACATCTATGTTTTATGATTTTAGTGAATCATTGTGAACTTTGATGTTGTTAAGTACATTATGCCTCATATGTTCAAATGTGGTTTAGGAATGATCCTCTAGATTCATTTGGGACATAGACGTTAGGTGGTATGACCCAATTTAGTTGCTTTCACACTTTTAGATTTCTAGTTGATAACCTAGAGAATCTATGTTTAATGTGTGGAATTAAAATTCTAATTACTAATTAATTTCACTAGATTTCAAATCTCAACCAAATAATCCCTAATTAATATATGTTAAACAACATAGTATAGTCATTACATATATCAACTCGAATACTTAATTAGGTCTTTGGAACAATAAAGTATAATTTAATTAAACCATGATAATTAAATCTCTAGATTCTAAAGCAACTCCAAATAGTCCCAAATTAATATATGCTAGTAAACAAGTCCTAGTCATTACAAATATCACGTTAAAAACTTAATTAAGCCAATAGAACCATTAAATAGATTTTAATTAATTCTTTTAATTAAAATCTCTAGATTTTCAAACTCATCCAAACGTTCTCAAATTAACATAGGTTAAAGAACATACCAAGGCCTATTTTAATATTACATTACAAATTGATTTCATGCAAGTTATAATCATGCGAATTAAACTTTGATAAAAGAAAATTATTAAATAAAAGTTGCAATACTTAATCAAATAATCTCAATTTAATATATGTTAACAAACATACCAAGGCTTAATTTACTAGCATGCCACAATTTAATTATAAGTTGTATACCATCATGAGAATTAAATATTAAACATAGAAATAATTAAATTATATTTTAGAATTTGAACTAAAGCATGCATAAAAGTTGTATAAGTTTCTAAAACAATTAATACAACATTAATAAGAACCTATGACATCCCCTACCTCACTTTGAGATGAAAATCTCAAATCCCCACCGAAATGAAACTGCTCCGAATCATATGAAATTTTGGGGTTTTGTCGGGGACAACATGGTGATCATTAAACTCCAAGGGAGTCACACCAAAATCCAAACTTGGCTTCAAACCCAAACTCAAAAAATGGCTAAAATGGGATTCCAATCGGTTGGAATCGAAGGCCTTGCCAAAACGAACATAAAACTCTAAGACACTACGGCGTTTCACTATAAGGAGGAGGTTCAAAAGAGAAGAGAGAAGGTGGCAGCCCCTTGGCTGCCATGGAATCCGGCTAAGAGAGGGGAAAGAGAGAGTGAAATATGACTTTTTCACTTAAGACCATCTATTTATAGAAAAACTTAAAAAGTGCCCCGAACGGGCCCCGCCAGGTCTAGAAAAGTGGAAAAACGCGCTCAAACGGCAAAACTCTGTGAACAAAAAAGAACCAAAATGAGAAAAAATGAACAACGAAAGAAATGGCGTTGAAAATCGAGTCCCAAGTAGAGAGATATGCCCCAAACAAGTTTGACGCTAACAGGGGTCGAAAACCCTAAAACCGGGTAAAAAACGTCCGAAATGAAATTCTAAGAGTACATGACTCGACGAAATGTGAAAACGAATCCCGTACGAGTATCCAGGCTTTAAATGAGGCATTTTGCAATAACTTTCGTTAATTGCATAATGGCCCTTACAAAAATAATAACTACACAGTTGACACAGAAAGAAAATATCTTCTAAAAATATTTTCTTAAAAACTACTGAAATAAAATATCTCCAAAATATATTTACGAAAAACACCCCAAGAAACAAAAATATTTCTGAAGAACTTTACATTCATGCCCCTATGGACACCGGGAGCAACCAGAGTACTTTTTTACAAAAGTAAAGATACTTATTTCGTGGAAACCATATAGAATGAAGGTACGTGAAGTCGAAAATCAACTCTGAGCACGAAAAGTGAGGTTGTGCCAAAAAAGTAAAAAACGGAAAAAAGACGAAAAGTGAATAGTGTCCAAAAACGAAAAATGTGGAAATGACTCGGTCCTTAAAACAAGTTGTCAGTCCAAAGGAAAGAGTCTCAGAAATCATTTTTGAGCACTCGAGATGACACTAAGTGATGAGAAACCGCACTCGGAAAAGAAAATTCAGCGAAAAAAAAATTATCCTTAAAACTTGAGAAAAAGGAAGGGAAGGAAAATGACCGGATCATTACTATATTAGCCAGTTCGTAACCTTTTTTTAAGGGTTTAATACCGTTACAACCTCTATGAACCGGTCGATTTATCCTAGTATTCACCAGAGTCTGTTACACTGCGACTGCGAGCGATGCCGTGAGCGATAATACTAGAGATGCACATGGTTCGATTTGGACTGGTTTAAGAGTTTTTTTGGAACCAAACCAACTTTAACGGGTTCATAAAATTTAGAACCATCGAACTATTTGACCAAATGAACCAAATGAAACCAAATCATGAAAAACCAAAAACCGGTTTGGTTCGATTTGATTTCATGGTTCCTTTTTATTTTTATTTTTATTTTTTTATTGTTAAAGAAGTATTCATATTATCCACATGCATAATAATAAACGAAATTATCAACATATTCAAAATTGAAATAAATAAATTTAGAATTGCTAATAATGTAATACTTTTAGAATTCCTAATTTAACAATAAACAATAAATCACAATTCAATTCCACTACTATAAAAAAAGAAAAAAAAAAAGAAAAAAGAATCACCTAAAAAATTAAATTTTTAAGTGATTTGAATTGTAAGATTATATTATATTATATTATATTATAAATGTTCCATAATTTTACACATATATATATATATATATATATATATATATATATATATATCTAATATAACACGTTCGATTCAATTTAATTTGGTCTTAAAGAATCTCAAATCATGATCAAATTATATATGTACGATTCCACAAATTTAGGACCTTAACCGAACCGAAACAAACCAAACAAATCATCAACAAACGAAACCAAACCCAACAATCTAATTTGATTTAGATCTTCAATTTGACGAAATTTTTGTGCGCCTACCAAGGGAAGGAACCGATACAAAATTTAGGGCAAATTATACAAACCTCCTATAAGGTTTCGATATTGTGCATGTAGATAGAAGTTATAACAATATTACACAAATGTCCATATTGACCGTTTGACCCACAAAAAATCAATATAAATTTACACTTTTAACCTTAAAATTAAAGTATTTATTTTTAATAAAAAAATAAAAAATATTGTATTTTGAGAAGTTTCATTTTTGCCCCTGCTACACCCCATCTTCCCTGCCACATCACTCCTCTTTTTGGTAGCATGGAATTTGAAGTTTGAATTGATATTTTTTTGAATTCTAATTCTAAGATACCAATTCCATGCTACCAAAAAGAGGAGTGATGTGGTAGGGAAGATGGGGTGTAGCAGGGCAAAAATGAAACTTCTCAAAATACAACATCTTTTATTTATTTTTTATTAAAAATAAATACTTTAATTTTAAGGTTAAAAGTGTAAATTTATATTGATTTTTTGTGGGTTAAATGGTCAATATGAACTTTTGTGTAATATTGCTATAACTTTTATTTACATGTACAATATCGAAACCTCATGGATAGTTTGTTTAAGATAATATCAAAACCTCATGGGTGGATTGTGTAATTTTTTGTGCGGCCGAGGGAAGGAACCGATACAAACATTTATAATGGAAAGAAAGGTCAAATCGAATGAAAGCACACTGATCAACCCTGTCGTTTTTTTTCCGTCCGTGAATTTTCAATTTCCCCAATATTTATTATCAGCCCCTTTCAAAGCCCAATCTCCTCGCATCTCTCACACGCGCGCATAAACCCTAATACGTTCATCGAATCGGTAGGAAATAATCCATTCTTTATCTGATCTTCGATCAGTTAACACAGTATCAGTTACTAATTCGACAGTGTCATTGCAGGAATCGCCATGGAAGGCCGTAAATCTAAGACCGAGTCGAAGAAATCAGATAGCAAGTAAGTCTAATATTTCTAACTATTTTGATGAATCTCTCTTAGTTTTGTTTTTATCAAAGAAATAACCCTTAAAATCGTAGCGATGCAGATCTGAGATCGATCTTGTTGTCTCACGTTCTTCGTATCTCTGTGTCTATATAATTTATGTATGTGAATGTATATTTGTATACGTGTATATTTATATGCCCTCTAATACCCGTTTCTGTTTATTGTGATAGTTCTGTGAAGACAGCGGTGGACCCAAACCAACCCAAGAGGCCAGCCAGTGCTTTCTTTGTTTTCATGTATAAATCTAATCTATGTTTCATTTGAATTTTCTCTTTAATACAGTATACAGTATTTTACTTAAAAAAAAAAAAAAAACAGTATACAGTGTTTAATTTTCTTCTCTAAGCTGATTAGAGGCCCATGCCTTTTAGTGTGTGTTGATGTCATAATCCATGTTTAGTTGGAACCATAGTTTGACGTGACGTCGGTTTTTAATCATTTTTCAACACACACCTCCATGAATCGGTCGGTAGACTGTGACCTCCTCGCAAGGATAGTGCTATTGCATTGGAATATAATTGCCACAAACGATAAGGCCCAAGAATCAATTGAAAGATTCTAGGAAAATATCTTATTCACGGTAGGTGGTACCTATCATTTTAATTGCCCCATAATTAGACTATATACCTTATTCTTACTAGATTAAGATTTTCCATAGACCTCAAGTCTTAGAATGCATAAAGGAAACGATTTCTTTTGGCTTAATTCTATCACTGCTAGGGTGTATTTGATCCTATAGACTCGGTTATGAACACTAAGCTCTATACCTGAACATAAAGTCTCAATTGTAGCCCTTTGCTTTAAGAAATTTCTGTCCAGCTTGATGATTTTTAATCCAGATTGGACCAAGTTTCATAAAGTTCTATATAATCTCGTGAAAAAACCAGTTTGAATGAAGATTAGGCCTGCCCTGTGGTGCCCCTTAGTTGTCAACTAATTGTGCACAAACACCACTTCCTCCTTCAAAAGCCCAGTGAAAAGCATACACAGTTGAAAGAAATGGTCAAATTCACTTTTTAATGGGGTATATTACTTGAATCAAACACTATTCACCTACAACATTTTAGACTGCAGCATAAATTATTTAATTTTTTTGGGGGAATTTTTTTTTTTTTATCTGTTTAGATTTATCTTTATATTTTGTTAATTATTCATATCTTGAAGGGAAGAGTTCAGAAAGCAGTTCAAAGAAAAGAATCCCAACAACAAATCAGTTTCTGTTGTAAGTAATTTCAGATTTATATATATATATATATATAAATATATTCTTGTATAGTTTGTTGTGCGTCTCATCTCGTGTGTAATCAGCTTTATTTTCTCTTAGCTTAGATTTTGTTGTATTTATTTATTTTTATTTTTTTGGAAAATAGGTAGGCAAAGCTGGTGGTGTCAAATGGAAGTCAATGTCTGATGCTGTAAGTAATGAAAAATAGAGTAATTCTATTATGATTATGATTAATGTCTATGCCCTTTTCATATGCTTATAAAGTAAACAAACTGTCGGTCAATTTATTAATTGAGATTATATTAACAAAATTTAGGAGAAAGCACCCTATGTATCCAAGGCAGACAAGCGGAAGAAGGATTACAAAAAGAACATGGACGCCTATAACAAGAAATTGGTGATTTATTATTTGTTTTGCAATGTTGAGTGTTTTTGTTTTTGTTTCATTATGAGTTGTGGTGGTTATGATGGTGTTTGATTTATACCCTTTTAAATAAAATTAGGCTCAAGGTACAAATGCATCTGAGGATAAAAATGAGGAGTCTGACAAGTCCAGGTCTGAAGCCAATGATGAGGATGATGAAGGATCGGAGGGCAGTGGAGAGGTTTGTGTGTCTTTTGTTATATTATGATTTTTCCCCCACCTTTGCTGCGTAATATATTTTCAGATAATTGTCATTTATATTTCTCTGCTATTTTTTGAGATTTTGAAAACAGTTTTCTGAATAACAAACCAAGTTAAGACTCTACTTTCTTAAGTTTTTAGTATCAAGAAATGGAAATTTATGTTGTGTTTGGTTTGCATGAATTTGGTGCCTTGACATTGAAATTGGGAAAAAAAAAAAATCGAACTAAATTTTTCTGGCATCGGTTTAAACTATTTTGGCATGTATTTCATATGATCGAACATATGATTTATTTTGTTGAAAATTATGTTTCTGTTTATGCAGGTGGAAGATAGCGAGTACTTTTGGTGGATTCTGTATGATTGGCGGGCACTTTTGGTGTTTGGTGGCTTCCTATCCCTTGCTCTTGTTACTGCATTTTGATGGATTCTGGTGACAAGTATGGACACTTTTGGTGTTTGGTGGCTTCTATGTTAATCCCTTGCTCTTGTTACTGCATTTTGATGGATTCTGGTGACAAGTATATTGCCCCTGCCCTTTCATTTTGTTTTGCCGGCCAATTTTATGGTATAGTTGACAAAATTTGTGGAGCAAGCTGACCGTTCACTTGGTTTGAATGAAGCTCTTAGATTGTGGGAAAAAAAAAGAGTTCATGTATGCTTTTAGTACTATTCCTTAAAAGGCCTTCTGCAATGGGTTTTTGTAGTCGTTGAATGAGTTAAAAGTCACATAGGAAAATCATTGCAATCGGTACAAAGTCATAGGAAAATAATTGCTTCAATGTACTATTCATTTCTTCTCTTTTCTTTCTGAAAATATCTGTAGGACTTCTGAAGTCAACTTCATGATGATACGGGCTTTTGAAATTAACTTCATTATGATACCTGATAAAATGGATTTCAGAATTCGAATGTAAAATTATCTCTTGAATGAGTAACTCGCCAATTAAGGATTCACAATATTGCAATGTTATCGTGATCCATCTGGTTAGGCCTCAATGTAAGCCTATTTTGATTCATGTAAATGATGTTTTAAATGCTTAAAATTAAGTAATTCAAGTATTTGATTTATTTGATTTGGTTACACCCGAAAAGTCGATGGCAAGAAATGTTGTCCATTTTATATAAGTAAGAAAATAGTACTTTTGAAACCTTTTTTTTAAGAAAGAATTTTTTTTTTTAAAGGATAAATTTGTTATTTTACTAATTTGTCTATTTACTTTTCATAGATTGACAAGATTTTATATTTTTTCTTGATCCTCCGTTTCACCACCACCACTTTCACCGTGACCTTCCATTACTATTGTTGTTGCCACCTTTCACCTCTGTCACCAACACCATTGGCATCACTACCACCGTGACCATTCACCACTGCCACCATCACCCTCTATTGTAACTGTCACCAACTGCAATTACATTCCACCGTCACCACCAGTGTCATTGTGACATTCTACCACAATCATCGCCATCACCACCTTCAAGGCTTCCACCACTACCATCACCGCCGCGGCCGATGTCAACTACGACCTTCCACCATTCCCACCACCGCCAACATTGTCACATTCCACCACAACCACCATCACAATTGCTTTCTGTCGCCGCCGCCACCACCACCACCAGCAACATTGCCATCTCCTTCCACTACCCTTCACATTTTTTTTATTGAAGGGTTGAAATAATTGTCAAGGATAAAAGATATTACTATCAAGGAACAGATAATCTAAAAGTTAAAGTAAATTTAAGAAATTTGTTCACCAAAAGTCTTCTTCTTATGAATTCCTTCTAACAAAATTTCTTTCGTGAAGGCCTTTATCAATGAAGGACTTTTAATATGAGAAAGCTCCCCCAAAACGGAGCTTAGGATTTATAGTTATTTTTGCTTCTTAACGATTTTAATATGAGGGTAATCTCATTACACATGCGAGGGGCATACTCAAAGAAGATATTAGAGAAACTTTATATAATCTTCTTTTGTATCTTTCATATAACGCTCCTAGATGAAACCGCAGCATCATCACGAGTAACTCTTTGAGCATCTCCCTTAAAGATTCCACAATAAAAAGTCTTTGCTAAGTAGAACATGGCTGCCCGTGGAACCCACGCCTTCTCATTTCACACTACGAAAACCCCAGCCACTTCTCCTAACCGCTGACAGAAAGCACCAAGTCGACCACCATGAGGAGGACACTATTGAAGATCGAAGAAAAATTTCCGAGTGTTGCTTTAAATTTATCTGAAAATTCCGACTGACAATTCTAGCAACAATTTAACAAAAAAAAGGTGAAGTGTAAAAAACCCTTGTAGTTTGAAAAGTGTGCAAATAACACCTTTCATGTTCAAATTCTACCATTATAGTATGAAAAATGAGCAAACAAGAGCTTCAGACCCCCAAAAAGTGACATGTGCGGGTTATATGACCAAAAAATGCTCTTTAATACCAACACTATCTTTTCGTACTTCCGAAATTACCCCCCATTCATTTCTCCCTCTTTCTATATATAATACTCCAATTTCATTATTTCGCTCTATGAATACTTTATTTATATATTTTTTCTTTCTCTATAATTTTTGTTTGTATATATATTTTTCTTCTCATTCTTTGTGTCTCTCTAACGGCTCTCTTCCACGTATATAAATTCTATTTCTTCAATACTAATAATAATAAATAATAAATCAATTAAATTTATCTTTCTTAAAAAATTATATTGATATCCTAGTGTGTATCAGAAGCTCTCGGCATATCCATGTGTGAGAAGTTGTGTCGTGTGTATATATACAATAATTTTTATTTTATTTTATTTTATAGAAATAATAATATTTTCTAAAACATAAAAGTGATTTACATATTATGTTAGTAATTTATTTTCCCATATTCACGATATCAATTAATTAAATATTAATTTAACAAAAAAAAAAGAATAAAATTAAATAACAATAAAACCAATATATATACACCTAAATGTCTATACCTATTATATACTCTTTAAAGAATGATAGTTTTGGTTAAGCATTGTCATTTGTATAAAAGAAAATAGTTTATTATGTACAGAAATAATAGTATTTTTATATTTATTTATATTAATATTGATGCTCGGCCTAGTGTGTGCACAAAAATGTGTTAATTTTAGACTATTAAAGAAATGTAGTGCAAAGTGGGCATCAACTTTTATAATTTATAAAAGCAACTAAACACTTAAACTATGAAGTATAGTGAGAAAGGATCGTCCTTAGGGATTATGGGATGGAATCTAATTCAACAATAGTGGACGTGAGATTGAAAAAGAGTTGAATTGGCGATTAAACTAATGTAAAATTAATAACATGAATTTCAAATTAAAGCTAGTGAAGAAAGGTTTAAGAGATGGAGGAGAGGTCTTAGGGCATAGGAAGCACCACTAAACTCATTCACTAAACAACATGCTTTTAACTAATGGGGAGAATTAAACAATATTGTAATCACAATGTGGCTAATACAAACTGCAATAATAAGCATGGACTATCAAATTCAAGCATGAATTGTCTACCTAACTACAATTACTCTATGGTGTAGAGCAACCCAACAAGATTAAACATAATCCATTAAACTAATTGACAAATGTAGCACACATTAATCAAGAGGATAGTACAATTTGTAATAATAAGCCATGGACTATCGGTGAGAAGCGTTCACATTTTTTTTAGATATTATTATTTGGGCCCTCCGCCTTTTTACGCAAGAATCTACGCTTAATGAGGCATGATTCCCGGTTACTCAGTGAAAAAAGATTTTTTTATTTAGCATGCACAGTCATTTTATCAAGAATGATGACTCATCAAAGCCTACTAGCTCAATTGGGATATAACCAAAACAATGATCAACTAAGCATGTACCCCACAAATGAATTATAGTGTGTGCCTATGCAAATGTAGTACTCTAGAATCAATTCTCAAAGCATTTTCATAAAGCAAGATGATGTGGACCACAAAGGCAAGCATGATATTGAAATTTAAAAATTACCCCTAAATGACATATCTTAAAGCATACAAGAAGTATTAGACTCTCAACTCTTTCCTTTCAAAGGCAACTATGTTTCAAAAGATCAAAATCATGGCCATCCATGGACTGAAAAATGAATCTCAAATGCACAAGTCATGTTTAAATTTTGAAATGAATGTAAAGAACGCATATTACCCCCAAACTTAAACTGCACATTGTCCTCAATGTGCAATGGGAACAATGGAAAGAGGAAATAGTATACCAGTGTAGCTATGGCGAGATATGACAAGGATGCAAGGATCTGAAGTGGGTGGTAGAACCTCCCCTCCCACCCTTTAAAAAAAAATTTGGGATCAACTGTGGTCCTGAAATGATGACACTTGAATAAAATCTCATCAAATAACCAAAAGGAACAAGTAATGGTGCACAGTGGACATACAGGTACAAGTGAGAATAAATGAGAGAATGATAGAAATGGTCCTGAAAAAGAGAGATGGGATCTCTCAAGGGAGCACTGCAATGTACTTGATATTGGAGTTAACATAAATATGTATATATTAGAACTCTAAACAACATCTGAAATATCACAGAAGAATAGCAATATAAAGTACATCACAGTAATATCAAGGCCAATAGACTGGTCGCAAAAATGTCATAAAAGTATCATAAGTAGCAGGTAGAGATAAAAAAAATATGTATATGAGAGAGAGATAGAGAGATTAGGCTGAGGACGATGGTCTGGCGAGGTGTGAACCCCGAATTTGTCTGGATAAGTCCGCCATCGATGTCCAGAACTCATCATGAAGAGTGCGCATACCCTCCTGCAATGAGTCATGACATCCCCACGGAGACTAGTGATATCAGTATGGAGCGTAAGAATTGAGTCCTGAACAATAACGACTCGATCTTGTAATGCCTGATAGCGCTCCTCGGGCATATTAAACTGAGCCTGTGGGTCAGGAATGACTGGGTCATCTTGAGCATGCAATCTCGAGTCAGCGGTAGACTGCTGCTCGTCCTGGCTTTGTGAGTGGTGGGAATAAGAGTCTTGTCTGTGGAAGTGAGACTGAGATCATGCGGGAGGGTCCTCATGTAAATCAATCCCAGCTCCTCCCTACCTCAGCCTCTGCTGCCTCCTCATCCCTATTCTTGATTAGAGCATTGTAGCTCTTCTTCTAGTCCTTCCACTTGTAGTGGCAGGATCCTGCCTCCGCCTTCTCACGTGGATCAATGGGATAGTGCTGATCCCTGAGGATCTGTGTGATCATATGAGCATAGGGGAGGAACTTGGGCCGCTTGGGGGCCTTCTTGGAGATGTATTCATCATATAACTTCATCATAACGCTCTAGATGAGTGAGGGTACAGAAAACCAATGCCCTGTATGGATGGCATATAGCGCTGCCATAAAATCTACCTGTCTCTGTACCTTATGCCCAACCATGTAGACATTGCAGAACAATACTGAATCAAAGAACCATAAATGCTCATGCATGTGGCCCCGAGTGGCATAAGTATCAGAATTGGTGTGGGCCCCATTAGAGCCATGGCCATGACGACATCTATCAGCCTCTGAAGCACCGGGTAATTAATCCCGGGAGGACAGACGTAAGGATAGTGAGAAGCTTTCGCCAGTGTCTCCATTGTGATAGAGATGGGGTGCCCATCAATAGTGGTGCACAGCTCCGCTAAGTTGGTTGGACTCGGCTTCAAATTTTGATAAAACACCTGAACCAATCTCAGGTAGACAGGGGCTACAACTGGAGATAGGATGAGGAAGATGTGCCTCTAGAAAATATCGTCGTAAGACCACTTGGTTTACTTATGATCCGAGAAGGTCCCCCTCATAGAATATGGACTCGTGAGCCTCACTCAAGCAAGAATACTTGCTGCGGACTCTGTCTCGGATGACAGCGGGGT